AACATATTAAAAATAAACATAAATTAAGGCCACCTAATGTTAGACCTCTAACTGATCATTAGTTTTAAATTATTGTGACAGCTTTAAAAAAGAGTATTTATGTAAAATGCTCTCGAGGAAAATTTAAACTTACAAATTTAAATTTAGCTATTCGTGAAGTGTAGAACAATGTAAACAATACATCTTTAACTATTCGTGAAGTGTAGAGCTTTGCACTAATTAATGAAGAGGTTGTGTATTCAACACATCAATGCTACTATAATGATCTACAGGGACACGACCATCAAAGGGGTCAGAATAAGTGCGTGGACTAGCAAAACTCTGATCCCCTTGTAGTAATTTAATTACTATTATTCTGAAATCATCCACCATGTACCAAGCAAGGGGGAAGAAGAGGTCAAATGTACTTGACCTGGAGGTCTACAAAGACCTAAAGCCCGATACAGACAAGAGAGAGAATGATAGTTTTTATATACCAGTTTTTACCCTAGACTTAGCTGTTCCGCCAATTTTTGGTTTTACATGAAAAGGGCGTCAAATATATATATATATACCAAATTTTACCCTAGACTGAGCAGTGGCCTCATGGTTTGATTTAGCTCAAAAGTGCAGTTTTTAGCTGAACATATATTTTACGTAGTACATTTTTGCTGTTACAGTTTCTGGTGAAATCATTTTAGCGTGTAGTTTTGTCCACCCTAATCACGTTTTCTTTGTTAATACTATACATTATATGCCTTTTTTATTCTAGGCCGTTATATTATATAGAATTAATCAAATCGATATTGTTTTTCCTTACTTAGTGTTGTATTGATAGCAACGAGGAAATGATCAAGTTGTTATTTGAATTCGGTGCCAATGTTAATGCGACGGACCATGAACTGTGGACTCCACTGCACGCTGCTGCCGCCTGTGGGAATTTAAATATACTCAAACTTGTTATTGAGAAGTAAGTGAACATAGTATTGACATTTAAAAACAAACTAGAAGAAAATCACCATAAGAGAAGTCACGGAAATGTTTGCCAATGAATAGGCGTAACTCACTAATAAGTTGTTCCCCTTTTATTTCCTCTTTTTTCGTTCCATACATACTTTTAAACAATACTTACCTATTTAATTTTGTTTATCCGGTTCAGTTCACGCTTAAGTTCCTCTCTAGAAAAATTAATTAGATTGATTTATGTGAGGAATAATTATAATCTAAATACTGGTATACCACACAAGCATAGAAAGAAAAACAAGAGGGAATCCTGAATAGCCGCTGAAATTCTTTTAGGCAGGACAAGAGTAAATTAATCTATGAGACCTTTTTGTCGTTTTTATTAGCTATATTTTTGTGCGCCTGCAATACCAAGCGTAGGGCGCGCGTATTCTCGATTCAATTTTATTACTCATCAGGATCTTTTCTAGCCTACCCTCAAACTGAAATTCTTTAAGGCAGGGTTGGAGTAGATTAATCAATGAGTCCAAAACTGTAATTAGATTTCAAATAGGTCGAGAAATGACGGAGCTATGAGCTAAAAGTTTGTACTTAGGAAAAACACAACTTAGAGCCGTTAAGCCGCGGCTAAAAAAAAAAAAAAGAATGAAATAATTACTTTACACATAAAATGATGACTCTTGCGATAAGTGATTCGAATTCCAGTGATACAAGTTAAGTGAGCTTCAGTATTTCATCGTCATTATATTTAATTCTTCACGAAATTATCTGTTTATAACCATAAGTTAAATTAAATGTGATATGAAGTTTTTTGGTAAATGTAGCCATTTTGATTTTGTCTGTTATCTCAGTGAATAATTTCTCAAACCTATATTTAACCAGTGATATCATGTACCGGAAATAGTAGCTTAGCCTGATAATTTTTTTTTTTTTTTTGCCATTTGCGGTCGAAGTTCCATTTCTGTATATTTACTTTTAATTGCTTGTTACAAATATACATGTCTGTTTACAAATTATTTGTCAGATGATTCTTATGAAAGGATTAGTACTAGATAACCAGTGAAATAAAAGAACAGAATTAAATGGGATTTCTAAAATGAAACTTTAAGTAGTTTTATGATAATTGTTATAATTAAAACAGTTGTCAGTTAGAGACGTTAAAGCGATGTAAAATATGTATTCACTGTCGCATATAAAATCCTTCTAATAAGCCTTAGAGAATATGCTTATTTAATAACATTTCAATTAACTTATTTTTGTGTTTTCTATTTGCAAAGGGGTGGTGATTTACTAGCAGTAAACTCAGATGGAAATATGCCATACGATATTTGTGAGAACAACAAGACGCTGAGCTACATTGAATTTGGAATGACTCAAAAAGGTGAGTGTTTAGAAGGGTTATAGAAGAAGAAAAAAACTACTGAATATGTACTAATTTAAAAATTGACTGAGTTTCGAACGTTACGTATTCGAGAAACAGCATTGAATGTATCGGTAACATTTCCGTGTTTGGGGAAAGTTTCGATTAACACTGTCATTCTTGATGAATGTTTCGGCAACAAGGTTTTAATTGGTGAAAGTTTCGGTGACACTGTCATTCTTGGTGAGCGTTTCGGTAACGTTTTCTTTATGGTGAATGTTTCGGTAGCACTGTTATTCATGGTGAACGTAACACGATTCTGATTGGTGAAAGTGTCGGTAACACTTTCTTCTTGGTGAACATTTCGGCAACACTGTCATTCAGGGCGAACGTTTCGGTAACACAGTCTTGCTTGGCGAAACGATAAGAGAAAAAGAATGGTTTAAAGTTCGTTACTGAAATACCTAAAATTCGAGCGAACTCCAAAATTGTAATATATGTTTTGAAGACAACTGCTTCAAAGTAAGATAAAAAAAAACAGCAGTCTTTTCTTTCTTTTCATTCCTTTCATAAGTTTGTTTTAAATTTGCGCACACACACACACATATATATATGATGTCAGGTTTGAAGCTGCGTGAAAGCAATAACCAGTTACCTTGTAATGCATGACGAGAACCCAATAAGAAGTTGAAGGTGTGGAATAAAGAACAGAAATGACCCTAAACGATATTGCCACGACAGCGGTAGTCACGTGACGCTGCTAACACGTCATAATATTCTCGAAGGATCAGGGAACATCACAATAATCCAGTATGTCCTAGGCGCCCTCTATTCCTGTATATAAGTGCGCCAGATAACGTGAGACAAATTAATCGGAATTGAATTGCAGACAGGCAGAGATAAAGACGAACAATGGAGTCAAGCGCGGAAGTGACTGTAAGCAAGTGCGTGAATCGTTGTGAATTATAGCGTGTGTTTAAAATTACTGTGGAAATTATGTGTATTGCAAAGTTAAATTGAGAAAGAACAAACTAGTTTTATTTAAGAAAGGAATTGTATCTCTGAAGTTCCTCTGGAAGAATTTATACCGGGAAATTAACAAATGAACACAAAGGCGTAACAATATTAACACATTTTAAACATTATACAC